GGATGCTTTTGGTGAGCCATGGGGGCTTATGCGCCCTTCTGCTCCCTTTGATCCTCGTTGGGATTGCCTTCCTTTGGGCTTGGAGGATCATCTCCTTGAGGAGCAACCACTCTCCTTGGACACCTGTCTCCCCTCCCCTCCGGGACCTCAGCGCTTCCCTAACTATCCTCCTTAGCTCGTTGAAATTTGCCAGAGATAAAGTCAGGCTAACCTGCCTACAGTCCTCCAGATAGTCACACTTGCCCTTTTTGAATCTGGTGAAATATTAGCATTCTTCCAACCCTCTGGAAATTTCCCCAGACTCCACCAGTTGTTAAAAAGTAGCAGAGATAACCTCAGCAGGGTCTTTTAGGACTCTTAGGTGTGAGTCATCCAGGCCTGCTGATTTAAAAATGTCTGTCCTGCTAACATACTCTGGTTACTAATGGGCAAGAAGGCACTTCATCATCCTTAGGCAGCACAAGCCCATCATCTGCCCTTTTTTCTCATTTGCTATACTTTTTTTTCCAGCTTTCATTTGTTTTTTTGTTGCCAGGGGAGGCTTTGTCCCGGTGATGGGACAAGCAGCAGTGCTGTCCCCTCTCTGGTTTGTTTGTGACCCCAGGTGACAAGCCTCAAGTCTTTGAGTGTGAACACCTACTTCTTTAACTGGTTTCTTGGTTGCCACATGGGGCTAGAAGGCATTTTTTCCCCCCCTTCCTGCTGCTACATGTGTCAGGGTTTTTCTAAGATTTCCTCAATGGCATGGGGTGTTGGCTGCAGCCCAGGCTGGGGATGGGGACTAGGCTGTGCCAATGTTCCTGCTAGGACTTCAACCCAGAGGTTCCTGGCTGGAGGGTCTTGCCCCTCCGCTCGGGGTCAGACCGATCACTGCACTGGGGTCAGGAAGGGATTTCCCCCTACATTGGTACAGGGTGGGGGGGATTTTGCCTTCCACCGCAGCACAGGACAAGGCTTCTTCCCGAGATCCCTTGAGCATATTTTTAACAACCTTTGCAGCAGCAAGACCTTGGCTGCTGTGGTTCTTGCTTTCCCTGTGGGAGGTTCAGGCATGAGGTCTTGTGTTGTGTCGCGGCTGATGGTGTAGTTTTGCTAAGAGTTTAGACAATGGCTTTGTATACGGATGATATGGGATGACAGTGCCTCAGGCAGGGGTTGGACTAGATGTGACCTCCTGAGGTCCCTTCCAGTCTGACTTCTTTGTGATTCTCTCTCTTTCACCAGGACTGAAGTATCAGGCTCTCCTGTACAGACTCTGCCCACCACAGCTGTGCCAGATTGAGCACTCCCTGCAGCTCTGCTTGCCAGGAGCTATCACCAGTAACAGATATATTCAGAGTGAACACAAAAAGACTTTCCAAAACACAGTATTTTGGGGTTTTCACTGCAGACAGTTGGTGCAAGAACAAGGATTCATAGGCAGTAAAACACCCTGTCTATACAAGCCTACGTCCTTCTCATGTCAAGTCCCTTGAGGTTACTCTGGAGGGCTTGACTTCCTTCAAAGAGTCTCTTTCTGTACCAACCTCTTTCCCTGACCAGCCACTGGCAAATGACCCATTTCCCTTCCACTGTTTTCTCACAAGACAGGCTTCCTGTCTCTGTAACATCCTTATGATCTTAGGTTCCCAGACCAGGCAGAATAAGCCTTTTAACTTTGGTACTGTTTTACCAATTACAGCCAAGCACCGTTTCTCGTGACTCTTGCAGTGTTCTCCCAGAGGTATTTTATCTCTAGTAAGAATTGGGGTTGGGGGTGGGGATGATTGGCTTACTTTTCTTAACTACCTTTTTGACTTCATAAAGTCAAGGAAATACACCATACAACACTCATATGCTACATAAATTAATACAGAACTAGCTCATGTCTTCTTTCTTTCTCATTTGTGGGACTGCGGTTTTCGGGGACATCTGGTAAAATGGTTGTAACCAGTTCCCAAGCATCAGTCACGCTCCTGGAACGGATACAACTGAAGGGACATTTAACTCTGACAACTTCAGATGAGCGATGGCTCAGTCTCAACTGCAGACAAAGATACAAACTACACTGGTGTTCAAGAGGTTCGAGTCCGCTGTGTTGGCCAGGCCCATTATAGAGATCCAGGCCAGATGTGAAGCAGATCTGCGCAGAACTCTGTTTCGACAAACTACTCCGAAGGTTTTAGAAGGTTTCAATATCACTTACAAGACAAAAATTTCTATTTAAATGATCACAGTGTCTGTTACCCCCGGCTTGGTCTCTAAGAACTTCACCAGTCTTGGTATTTTCATTTCTAAAATAAACTCCTGCAGCCTGGAGAAAGATTAGCAGGGAACCCGGCTCACTCCACTTCCTGCTGTTTTGTCTGGCAGCATGATTTAGATACATATACATTTTTAAAGCCACCTGGAGCAGTCTTTGTATGAGCTCTTTCAGGGCTAAGAATTCAGCAGCCAATAGTCAAGCCTCTTTTTTCTTTTTTTACTTTCAAAAGCTCTTTGGACACATATCAAAAGGGACCAGATTTAATAGCAGCTTGTCATGTAAATCCATCCCAGACAATATCTCCAGATGTTGCAGCTGTCTTCATGCCTACCACTTTGGCAAAAAATCACAAGCAAAAATCATCCACAAGTATAACACCCCCGTCAAATCCCCCAGGCCTCCTAAGCCTCCCCTCTATACATTGAATAGAAGTTTATACTGGCTGTTAGGGTCTCTCTCGTCATTGCTGTTCTGAGGGACACTGCTCCTGGTAGGAAAATGCGTCCAAATTGTTCCTTGGGCACTGGGATCACACGTTTCCTGCTACTCCATCCCCAAGTAAGTTTGGAGGACTGGTCCCCAGTGCTCACATTTTACCTGAAGATAAAACCACACTGAAAAAAAAATTATACTCTTGGGATTTAGGAGTGTGTAGGAGAGGTGAACTGTTGGTATTTACATTGTTTGACTGAGTTCTTTAAAGAAGAAAGTTAGGGATTTCTCTGAATCAAGTCATATAAACGCTGTGGCTTCTAACAAAGAGTTAACACTGGAGCTCATCATGCTCCCTGGAGCCATTTATGATAAGGTTTTTCATCACATGGATCTCAACCTTCCTGCTGACTCCTATACATCTCATGGACACCACAGGAGTGCTCTAAAGGCTGAGGCACCTGGTCTGCAGGGGAAGGACAGCTGGTCAAAGCTATCATCTTTATTTTTATTTTTTATATCAGGATTGCTGATTTGCTTGATAAGTGCAACTGTACTGATACAGAATGCTGTATTTTTCCACAGTATTTGGTGTGGTAGCACATATAATTTCAATTTAAATCTTGAATGAACTGGGCACATATTAAAGGGATTAAAGATTTGCTCCTGAGAGATCTCCAAATGTAGTTGTCAATCAACTGATATAAATGAGTGGGGCTGCCTCAAGCGGGGTTCCCCGAGGATCGATGCTTGGCCCAACACTATTTAATACTTTTATCAGTCTTAGAATCAAAGGACTGAAAGAGGCCTCAGTGATCATCTAGCCCAACTGTCTGTACAAATGACCTCTTCAATGATATAAAACTTTGCTGGGCAAATTGGCAGAGACACAAAGACTGGTGGTGCTGCAGACAATGGGGACAAGTCACTGTTACAGCATGGTTAAATGGTCATGATCCAGAAGGGTGCATTTTATCCAACCAAATGAAAGTTAACACAGCTGGAAGCCAAAAATGCAGGTTATAGCTGTAGGGTGAGACAAACTAGTTTGGAAAGCAATCACTGACCAAAGCGGGTAGAGTTCATTATGGACAACCACTTTAAAGCAAGCTCTCAGTGCAATCCGACAGCAAAAAGAACATGCGTATAAAAAGAGAGATCAAAGTAGTCGTAACCTGAATGAAACAAGTTTAACATTACAGTAGTTTAGTTCCACTTATACCGGTACAGGAGTAGACACTTAAACCGGTATGGGGTGGATATACAGAGCAGGTTATATCAGCACAGATTATACCAGTATAACTATGACATCTGTCCACATCCTAAATAAGCCAAGTTCTCCCAGTCTCCTCTCCTAAGTTTCACAGTCCCTTGATCATCCCAGTAGACCTTTTCTACACTCCAGTTTCTATTTCTCTTTCTTGAGTACAGGTAGTGTGACATACACAGAGTATTCTAGGTGAGGACCACCACTGCCCTGTACAAATAATTCCCACCTCCTTGTTGGCAGCAATTCCTCAATTCAAGGATGATCTCTACCACAGATCATTGATTCACTGATGGATCTTGAGGTTACTTAACAGTTCTTGAGCCACAGACCTTGTCTGCAGAAGCTGCAGGTCTTCCCTGCAGGCTGACACTTCCAATCCAGGGCCACAGGGAAAAACTGGAAAGGTTTCATTACCAGCTGCTTTCATCATGCTAAATTCCAATCTAATGGCCTGTTTCTGCACATGCTTCCTACTGATCACAGTGTTTGGAGTGAGCACTGTTCTCAGCTGTACCTGTACGATTCAACTCTCACAAGGGAAGGGAAGCAAACACTCTAAACACACCAGTCTTATTTCATATGCATCTCACTGTTGTGCTTTCTGGACATCTCCTGGGCAGAACGTTTCTCTGTTGCTCAGGAATTGGTTCCATCAGGAGCGACTCTTCATTCCCTGGTGCTTGATGCTTGTGAAGCACTAAAAATGAACTGATTAAACTGACTTGAAAAATGATGGATGTGCTGAGAGAAGAGACCTTCAGCAGAATGACTGAAGCCTGCAAACTATGGAGGGGAGTGGAAGGCTTCGGTGCATCCACTCGGTGTCAGCTCACCCTGCTTCTCAGTTAGCTTAAGTATTTCCTATTAGAGGAACACTTTTCTTTAACTCCTCTCCATCAGCTCAGCAGTGATAACAGGATCATATCAAGTACAGTCACAACTCCCTGGCTTGTGCTTATAGCACCTGGGATTCCCAGATGGTTTCCCATCCAACCCCTACCAGGCCCAGGACTGCTTAGCTTCCATGATCAGAAAAATGGAAAGCATTAGCTAAAACAAACAAGACCAACTGGTGCTCTAACATGTGGTCTGCATAGCCTCTTGTACCAAGTCAGCTACAGTATACTGATTAGAGGTTAACTGGGGGGTTTTCTTAAACCAAAACAGTTAACCTGCCAGGGGTTGTAGCAGTCAGGCTGGTGTAAAGAAGCTTCCATCCAGCAGGAATGATTCTTCTGAACTTTTGAAAATAAGTTGAATCAGTACAAACCTCTCTCTCCTGGTGTAACCATTTCCACACTGGGCTCTTGCACCATTTCAATATACGATCTATTCAGTTAAAGCAACACAAAAGTTGTGCACAGATGAGCTCCCTGGGGACTTCAGACACCCAGTGCCTTTTGAGTGAGTCATGGTAGGAATCCACCCTAGAACCCACCCACTCAGCCTTGGGATAGGGGAGATACTGAAGAAAAACAGTAGGAGAGAATATAGTAGATAGACAAATACTGCTTGCCTTGCTGTCATCTTGTACTGGGATGTGGCATTTTTCCCTGAATGCTGTCAGAGTCATACTGGCCTCTAGAATACGAGGAGACCACAAAGCTCCAGGCTGTGTCTGTAGTCTATCAGCAAAGTGGAATGTAAACCCAACACTTACAGACCCTCCAAAGACCCGCATGGCAGGGATGACAGCCCGGGCAGAATCCCTACCATCTTGTTTAGGCAGAAACAAACCAGAATGGAGAGCCAAGTCTCTCTAGTGGGAATACAATGAATTTTGGCCAAAAAGCAAAGAGCCCTGAATTGCAAATTATGACAACTCTGAAAATTAATCTAGTAATGCTAAAAAAGGTTTCCTTGGCCAGAGGATCTAGACAGCCCCATGCCAGCAAGATGCATATCGGCATTGCCTACCTGTCCCAAGAGATCACCAGAGACAACTCTGAGAAGACAGGAAGAAGTGACTTGGTTCATGGCTGTTAGTGATCCCTCCATAGAATGAAATGAAAATGGGATCCCTCAGTTTGAACATGGATTGTATTTCAGGTAATGCCTCAAGTACTTTGGCATGAAGGCCACACCAGTATGACACAAAGCCCTGAGCTTTTTCTCAATTTTTCCATATTTTCTGTGACCTTAGGGAAATTACACAGTAGTTTCATAGTTTCATAGTTAGTACAGTTGGAAGAGACCTGAGCAGATCATCAAGTCCATGGCAGGAAAGAGGACTGCAGTCAAATGACCCCAGCAAGGTGATTGTCTAGTCTTGTCTTAAAGCCCACCAGGGTAGGAGCCAGCACCACTTCTCTTGGAAGTTGGTTCCAGATCCTAGCCGCCCTGACGGTGAAGTCACGCCTCCTGATGTCTAGTCTGAATCTCCCCTCTGCCAGCTTGTGACCGTTATTCCTGGTCACTCCTGGCAGTGCTCGGGGGAACAGGGACTCCCCCAGTGCTGGCTGGTCCCCCCTGACTAGTTTGTAACAGGCCACTAGATCCCCCCTCAGCCTTCTCTT